TCAGTGGGATTTTAGCAGCTCTCTGGATGGAGACTGGCCTTTGAGGTCACTGCCTGTTGCGAAAGTATTTTTTTCAAATCAAGGACAAGACCAAATCTGGAGAGAGGCAATCTATTGAAAAGGCTGGAGGGGAGTTTCCACGCTCAGGCAATTTTGGTTTTCTCCCAAACTTGTGCGTGTGAGCAAATCTGAATCATTGCCATGCAAGAGTATCTCGTTCCACTTCCTCATGAGTCGCTGATCCAGCAGCGAGGAGACATTGGAACGGCAATAAACAGGGGCTGGTGACTTGTGTCTGACGCAGGCATTCACTGAGTTCCTGGGAAAGGCGAGATTTGAACCCAGAACTTCTGGACCTAGCGGCTGGTTTGGGTCCCGATTTTCCGCACCGGGGTCGCTATTTATTTTTATTTTGTGCCGCTCGTGAGAATCGCTCCCCCAACTTTATTTCAGCCAGTGCTTTTTTTTTCCTTAAAAAAAAATGTTTAGGGGCTACTCTCATTTTGACTCGAGAAAATCCCCAACCCCCTGCAAAACAATGAGAGCGCACATCTGAAAGGAACTCTTCTCTTTTTCTCGGATTAAGAATCGGAGCCTCGGTTCCCCCCCTGTGTTTTTTTTTAATAATATTTGTTATTTTCAGTAGACAAACATAATAAAAAAGAATTAACAGTAATAAAAACAAACAGAGAATAAAACAGAAAAACGATGAAAAAAGATAAAAAGAAAAAAGGTACATACAGCATATTACCACTTAATTAATAAAAATTAAGTACCATCCATCTTCATAAACATAGTACCTGACTTCCTCAAATCTCTTCCATCTGAATTTCTTAGTAGTTATATGTAGCAGTTTCCAATATCAGTATTTCAAAAAAACGTATCACAGTCCTAATCATATTACATCACTTTCTTTATCGTAAATTTTCTTATTTATAGATTGAATCCCAGTTTAACCCTAGGCCTAATTGTTTCTTTCAAGTGGTTACATATCTTTAATATTACAGTATTTATTCAAAAGAGATTTGACTTTCTTGGGCTCCATGATCACTGCAGATGGTGACAGCAGCCACGAAATTAAAAGACGCCTGCTTCTTGGGAGAAAAGCGATGACAAACCTAGACAGCATCTTAAAAAGCAGAGACATCACCTTGCCAACAAAGGTCCGTATAGTCAAAGCTATGGTTTTCCCAGTAGTGATGTATGGAAGTGAGAGCTGGACCATCAAGAAGGCTGATCGCCGAAAAATGGATGCTTTTGAATTCTGGTGCTGGAGGAGACTCTTGAGAGTCCCATGGACTGCAAGAAGATCAAACCTCTCCATTCGGAAGGAAATCAGCCCTGAGTGCTCCCTGGAAGGACAGATCCTGAAGCTGAGGCTCCAAGACTTTGGCCACCTCAGGAGAAGAGAAGACTCCCTGGAAAAGACCCTGATGTTGGGAAAGATGGAGGGCACAAGGAGAAGGGGACGACAGAGGATGAGATGGTTGGATGGTGTTCTTGAAGCTATGAACATGAGTCTGACCTAACTGTGGAAGAGGCAGTGGAAGACAGGAGTGCCTGGCGTGCTCTGGTCCAGGGGGTCACAAAGAGTCGGACATGACTAAACGACTAAAAAACAACATTTATTCAAATAGTCTTTAAATTTATTCCAGTCTTCTTGGTGTTCCTCTTCTTTCTGGTCGCGGTGAGATCAGCCAGCTCTATAAACTCCATCATCTTCATCTGCCATTCTTCAATTGTTGGTAGTTCTTGTGTTTTCCATTTTTTGGCTAGCAAGAGCCGTGCAACAGTTGTGGCATACTGTCTGTTCCCCCTCTGGCATGGGCGCGGAACGCGGCTGCAGAGGAGGAGAAGCGCTGAGCCATCGGGCGGCGAGATTCTCCTTTCAAAATGTGCTGATTGGCTGGAAACCGGGTGCCCTTTCGTTGCAAGCGGCGGGGGCAACACTTTGCGTGCTTGATGGCGCCGCATAACTGACCCCTAAGCGTTCCCCGAGGACCTGGGCGGCTCAGGTAATATGGGCATCGGCTACGGAACCGGAGAGACTTGCCAAAGGGCACGCAACTAAAGTCTGTGTCAAAGCCAAGAGCTTTTTTCACTTGGCACCTTTGTTTTCGTGAGGGTTTAGCTCAGTTGGCAGAGACTCTTAAACTCAGGCTCCAGAGTTCCCCCTCTTTTCATTTTCCTTCTGTACTAGAACTCCTATTTGGGGACTTCCCTGGCTTTTTTCTGGCCCGCGTAGAACCAGTCTGGATAGTTGGCCTTGGTGAAGATTTGACATTTCCTTTTTTAATATAATTTTTATTACGTTTTCCATATTTTATTACTTTTCGGTATCAAAAAATAACTTAAGACAGTGCTTAAATAAAGCATCAACTCCTTCCTTCCCTCTAACTTCCGGAATGGATTAAGTTCGTAAACCAAAGTAAGGGACCCCAGACCATTAGGTCCAGTCGTGGCCGACTCTGGGGTTGCGGCGCTCATCTCGCTTTACTGGCCAAGGGAGCCGGTGTACAGCTTCCGGGTCATGTGGCCAGCAGGACTAAACCGCTTCTGGAGAACCAGAGCAGCACACGGAAACGCCGTTTACCTTCCTGCCAGAGCGGTACCTATTTATCTACTTGCACTTTGATGTGCTTTTGAACTGCTAGGTTGGCAGGAGCAGGGACCGAGCAACGGGAGCTCACCCCGTCATTGCGGGGATTCGAACCGCCAACCTTCTGATCGGCAAGTCCTAGGCTCTGTGGTTTAACCCACAGCGCCACCCACGTCCCTATAGCTTGTTTAGCTTATACGTAAATCTGGCGCTGCCCAAATCTCGTCTTCTGAGCGTCTCTACAGACACCCTGAAAGTTGGCACAGATGCCAGATCTGTTTGTAAGATGTGCCAGCTTATATAACAAGACAGTTTCTGTCTCGTGCCAGGGCTGCAGGGATATGGACCTCTGTGGCTGGATCAGGCGTGTTTTTGTTCATAGCGGCATATTTTTTGCCCAAATAGCAAAGTTTCAAATTTTATTGAGGCCGAGAAACGACCCCGAAAGGAACAAGGAAGCGTACAACTTCTTTGCCAAGAAGGCCTGGCCACACACCTCTCCTTGTTTCTTGCTCATTCAGCAGGAAGTTGAGACATGCCGCCAGCTTGCGGCATCAAGCTTGCCCTGTTCGTCCAGGTTATTATGGGATTTCTTCATTCTCTCCGGGTTTTTTCTTTTCTTTCTTCTTTTGTAACTGGCAAGCACATTGGGGCAAGAAAGGCTTTTGATGACGCAAGCGCCCAGACTCATAATTGTCCAGGGGAAGGGCTGGAGCTTGGTGCTATACAGCGTGCCGGTCCTGAGTTCGAATCTCATAGTATCCCCCTGAGTCTGCAACCCTGGAGAGCTGCTGTTGCCAGCCAGCGTAGCCAGAGATTCTCAATCTTTCCCAGTCGACGGCTCCCTTGACTTAACTTCCTAATCTCCTGTGGCTCCCCTGTGAGAAAATGGGAGAAAACTTAAGTTGCTTCGTCGCTGAGCTGTTTTGCGCTTTCGTTTTCTTTTCCCAGGCTTATAATTTAAGTAGCAGAACTTTGAAAAGGGTTTTAAATACAGTGGTACCTCGGGTTACAGACGCTTCAGGTTACAGACTCCGCTAACCCAGAAATAGTGCTTCAGGTTAAGAACTTTGCTTCAGGGTGAGAACAGAAATCGTGCTCCGGCAGCAGCAGGAGGCCCCATTAGCTAAAGTGGTGCTTCAGGTTAAGAACAGTCTCAGGTTAAGAACGGACCTCCGGAACGAATTAAGTACTTAACCCGAGGTACCACTGTAGATAGATATAGATAGATAGATAGATAGATAGATAGATAGATAGATAGATAGATGATAGATAGATAGATAGATAGATAGATAGATAGATAGATAGATAGAATGGTTCGTAGCCCTGCTAAATGTTGCTTTTGTAAGTTGGGGGAAATGGAAGCAAGTTTAAATAATAATGCAGTCAAACCTTGTTTTGTGGACGGGATCCGTTCTGGAGGCCTGTCTGCAAGTGGAAAATGGACGCACGTCCCAAAACATTTGGAGAACCATGATGGAGAAAAAGGAGATAGATAAATGCAAGGAATAAGCTCTTTCTGGTTCCCTGCTTAAGAAAGATGGAGGGGCCAGACAGATGGAAACGTCCATTGCCAACCTGGTGCCCAGAGATCTCCACATGGTCGCAAATGGACCCGCACCAGTTAAAAAATACAAGGCATGACCAGAATGTTCACTGAAATCGGACAGCGAGAAATATTTGAACATTTGTTGTTGTTGTTTAGTCATTTAGTCGTGTCCGACTCTTCGTGACCCCCTGGACCAGAGCACGCCAGGCCCTCCTGTCTTCCACTGCCTCCCGCATGCTGGTAGCTTCGAGAACACTGTCCCACCATCTCGTCCTCCGTCGTCCCCTTCTCCTTGTGCCCTCCATCTTTCCCAGCATCAGGGTCTTTTCCAGGGAGTCTTCTCTTCTCATGAGGTGGCCAAAGTCTTGGAGCCTCAGCCTCAGGATCTGTCCTTCCAGTGAGCACTCAGGGCTGATTTCCTTCAGAATGGAGAGGTTGGATCTTCTTGCAGTCCATGGGACTCTCCAGAGTCTCCTCCAGCACCATAATTCAAAAGCATCCATTCTTTGGCGATCAGCCTTCTTGATGGTCCAGCTCTCACTTCCATACATCACTACTGGGGAAACCAGAGCTTGAACTATACGGAGCTTTGTTGGCAAGGTGATGTCTCTACTTTTTAAGATGCTGTCTAGGTTTGTCATTGCTTTTCACCTCCGTACATAATTGTAATTTTGTGGGTTTCCGATGCCGGTTGCACGTTCGGATATTTCTCGCTGTCTGATTTCTGTGACCATTCACCAAACTTTCCGGTCGCACCTTGTACGTGACTTGATTTCTAACACCATTGGTCAGTCCTTAGGAAGTGCGCTTTGTGGAATTTTGAACCTGTTTCTCTTCTCTTTCCCCCTCCAGCTTGCGCTGAAATACGACCCTCAGAAGGAAGCAGAATTAAGGACATGGATAGAAAGCATCACCGGAAGAGACATCGGCCCCGATTTTCAGAAGGGGCTGAAAGATGGTGTTGCACTTTGCGAGTGAGTAGGCACGTGTGTTTCATGCGTGGTATATATTTTTTTAAATTTCATTTTATAACGGATGCAGGTGAGCCAAGGGACCCGGGTGGCGCTGTGGGTTAAACCACAGAGCCTAGGGCTTGCCGATCAGAAGGTCGGCGGTTCGAATCCCCGCAATGACGGGGTGAGCTCCCGTTGCTCGGTCCCTGCTCCTGTCAACATAGCAGTTCGAAAGCATGTCAAAGTGCAAGTAGATAAATAGGTACCGCTCCGGCGGGAAGGTAAACAGTGTTTCCGTGCACTGCTCTGGTTCGCCAGAAGCGGCTCAGTCCTGCTGGCCACATGACCCGGAAGCTGTACGCCGGCTTCCTCGGCCAGTAAAGCGAGATGAGCGCTGCAACCCCAGAGTCGGCCACGACTGGACCTAATGGTCAGGGGTCCCTTTACATTTACCTAAGATTGTCTTCCATGAGCACGGTCTTAACAGGTAGGTAGCCGTGTTGGTCTGCCGTAGTCAAAACAAAATAAAGAAATTCCTTTCAGTAGCACCTTAGAAACCAACTAAGTTTGTTACTGGTATGAGCTTTCGTGTGCATGCATACTTCTTCAGATACGGTCTTAACAGTAAGTCCATAAGTGACTATGGAGGCCAGTTCTGGACCCACACGTCCTTCCACAGTGGGGACATAGGTTCCCGGGCGGGAGTTGATCCTGGTGAGGGTTTGCCAAGTGTGCCTTCCTCTTAGCACGTTTCTCCCTGGCGTCCTGAGTTCGAGTGTCTTCAAAGCCCGCAACACCTTTGGGAAAGGCTGTTCTCCAACTGGAGCGCTCGCAGGCCAGTGTTTCCCAGTTCTCGGTGTTTATACTACATTTTTTTAGATTTGCCGAGAGAGTCTTTGAACCCCTTTTGTTGACCACCAGCATTACGCTTTCCATTTTTAAGTTCGGAATAGAGGAGTTGCTTTGGAAGACGATAATCGGGCGTCCGAACAACATGACCAGTCCAACGATGTTGATGTTGGAGAATCATTGCTTCAACACACAAGCTAACTCGCTGGCATATTTGTAACGATGGGCAAAATGGTTGAAAAACCGTTCTTTAGTTAATTGGGGAAAGTCCTGTTCCTGCCCAACATGGCGTCGAAACCTTACATGTGTGTTTTTGTGTTCTCCCTCCCCAGGCTAATGAACAAACTTCAGCCGGGTTCGATAAGGAAAATTAATCACTCAGGCCTCAATTGGCACCAGGTATGTTCTCTTTAATGCAACCGTCAAATGCAAAAGCAGCAATTGGTTTGAAAGACCAGGTACAAGGAATTGATACGAATAAGGGATTTTATTCTTTTTTAGGGAGGTGGCTTCAGGAATGCCTTTAAGGCTGACCTGTGTTCTGGGGGCAGGGGAAGCATACAGTGGTCCCTTGGTTCTCAAACTGAATCCGTTCCGGAAATTCCGTTCCAAAACCAAAGCGTTCCAAAACCAAGGCGCGCTGCTTTCCCATAGAAAGTAAGGCAAAACAGATTAATCCATTCCAGGCTTTTAAAAACAACCCCTCAAACAGCAATTTAACATGAATTTTACTATCTAATAACACCATTGAGCCATAAAATGAATGCATAAATCAATGTAAGGTAAAGGTAAAGGGACCCCTGACCATTAGGTCCAGTCGTGGCCGACTCTGGGGTTGCGGCGCTCATCTCGCTTTACTGGCCGAGGGAGCCAGCGTACAGCTTCTGGGTCATGTGGCCAGCGGGACTAAGCCGCTTCTGGCAAACCAGAGCAGCGCACGGAAACGCCGTTTACCTTCCTGCCAGAGCGATACCTATTTATCTACTTGCACTTTGACATTCTTTCGAACTGCTAGGTTGGCAGGAGCAGGGACTGAGCAACGGGAGCTCACCCCGTCATTGCGGGGATTCGAACCGCCGACCTTCTGATCAGTAAGCCCTAGGCTCTGTGGTTTAACCCTCAGCGCCACCCGCATCCCATAAATCAACGTACTGTACTATAAATTAATTAAGACAGTAATGTAGATGACAAAAGTAAAAACTATTTTTTTCCTTTACCCACACTGATGATATTCATTGTTTGGAGGGGGGCTTTTATCCATGTCCGCAGTCACACAATCAATCGATCAGTAGCTGAACTGGGTTCCAAACAGTCACAAAAGCAAATGAACCGAAAAAGCCTCAAAAACGCAAAATAAAGAGCAAAAACAAAAGCGCCAAACTTAATCCATTCCGGAAGTCCGTTTGACTTCCGAAATGTTCGGAAACCGAGGCGCGGCTTCTGATTGGCGCAGGCGCCCTGGAAACAATAGCTGACAGCTGCGTCGGGTGTTCGGCTTCTGAAAAACGTTCGAAAACCGGAACACTCACTTCCGGGTTTTCGGCGTTTGGGAAACAAGGCATTTGGTAACCAAGGCATTTGGTAACCAAGGCATTTGAGAACCAATGCATTTGTGAATCAAGGCATTGGGAACCAAGGCATTTGAGAACCAATGCATTTGAGAATCAAGGCATTTAGGAACCAAGGCATTTGAGAACCAAGGCATTTGGTAACCAAGGAATTTGGGAACCAAGGTACCACTGTTTTTACAATCTGCCAACCTCCACCTTGGTACTTATATCGGGGGTGAGCTCTGCCCCTTCCGGAAATGGACCGATAATTCCCAACACGAACCCCAGATGATTTAGAAGGAATCCCCTAATTTTGTGAGAAGGGGCTTCTAGGGGTCGCCAGCCTTGACCCGGCTGTCCTTTCCTTCGGCAGCTTGAGAACCTCTCCAACTTCATCAAAGCCATGATGAGCTACGGCCTGAAGCCCGTCGATGTCTTCGAAGCCAACGACCTGTTTGAGAACGGGAACATGACCCAGGTGCAGGTGTCGCTCTTGGCGCTGGCTGGCATGGTGAGTCAAGCTTGCGCAACCGGGTGCCTTCTAGGGGCTGATCGACAGTGCCCAGTGCCCCATGGCCTCTATGGGGAGGCTGATTGGCTGGGCCGTGCCATGGTGGGGGTGGCTGATTGGCTGGGCCACAGAATGGGGAGGCTGATTGGCTGGGCTGCACCAGGGTGGTAGTGGCTGATTGGCTGTGCTGGAGAATAGGGTGGGCTGATTGGTTGCGCCGCACAATGGGATGGTGGATTGGTTGGGCTGTGCCAGGGTGGGGGTGGCTGATTGGCTGTGCCAAAGAATGGGGAGGCTGATTGGCTGGGCTGTGCCAGGGTGGTGGCGGCTGATTGGTTGTGCCACACAATGGGGTGGCTGATTGGCTTTGCTGCACCAGGGTGGTAGTGGCTGATTGGCTGTGCTGGAGAATAGGGTGGCTGATTGGTAGTGCCACACAATGGGATGGTGGATTGGTTGGGCTGTGCCATGGTGGGGGCGGCTGATTGGTTGTGCCACACAATGGGGTGGCTGATTGGCTGGGCTGCACCGGGGGGTGGGTGGCTGATTGGCTGTGCTGCACCAGGGTGGTAGTGGCTGATTGGCTGTGTTGCAGAATAGGGTGGCTGATTGGTTGTGCCACACAATGGGATGGTGGATTGGTTGGGCTGCGCCAGGGTGGGGGTGGCTGATTGGCTGGGCTGCACTGTCGGGATGGCTGATTGGCTGGGCTGTGCCAGGGTGGCGGCAGCTGATTGGCTGCACCACACTGGGGTGGCTGATTGACTGGTCTGCACCAGCATGGTAGTGGCTGATGAAAATTTTAACTCTTTCCGTATGGTCTTATTTATTTGGTCCAGGGCTTTCTTCCAAAACTTAGTGAGTAAAGAACCCTGTAAGAAATTTTAATTCCTAGCCTATGGTGTTTTTAAAATATAAATTCCTTAATATTCAGTTTGGTAGCCACCAGGCTAATTCTTTGCAAGGATGTAGCAAGAGGGGGCCGGCAAAACACCCAAAGAGCTACCATATTTTTCACTCTATAAGACGCACCAGACCACAATATTCTGAATCTCAGAAGCCAGAACAGCAAGAGGGATCGCTGTGCAGCGAAAGCAGCGATCCCTCTTGCTGTTCTGGGCTTCTGGGATAGCTGCGCAGCCTGCATTCGCTCCGTAAGACGCACACACATTTCCCCTTACTTTTTAGGAGGGGAAAAGTGAGTCTTATACAGCAAAAATATGGTATGTTAAGTAAATGTGGAAGACTCATCCTGTAGGAAGAGTCCCCCCCCTCTGTTTGCAGAGTCTATTCCTCATGGGCCATGAGGACTAGAGACTTGCGGAGACGCAATCAAAATCTGCAGAAGTTTTAAGCCAGTTTTGAGACTGACCGGGCGAGGTTTGCTTTAAGGTGCTTCTACTCCCCCTCCCAGGCCAAGACGAAGGGGATTGACAGCGGAGTCGACATTGGTGTGAAATATTCCGAGAAGCAGGAGCGGTGCTTTGACGACGCGAAGCTGAAAGCCGGACAGTGTGTCATCGGTTTGCAGGTGGGTGATGCTGTGGCCGCCGGAGCCCAGCAATTACCTGGAGGTTTCCTCCTAAGCGAGCCAGCAATAAATCACACGGACCGAGCTGGAGTTCAACTCTTTACAGTGGTACCTCGGGTTAAGTACTTAATTCATTCTGGCGGTCCGTTCTTAACCTGAAACTGTTTTAACCTGTAGCACCACTTTAGCTAATGGGGCCTCCTGCCACCACCGCACAATTTCTCTCCTCATCCTGAAGCAAAGTTCTTAACCCGAGGTAATATTTCTGGGTTAGCGGAGCCTGTAACCTGAAGCGTCTGTAACCTGAAGCGTATGTAACCCGAGGTACCACTGTATTAGCAAGAACACGGATTTGCGCAGACTTGGCGGACTGTCAGGCCTAATGAGCACAGCAGCTCATCCCCGGGAAGTCTGGCTTCATGGATAATAATAAAGGTAAAGGGACCCCTGACCGTTAGGTCCAGTCGTGGCCGACTCTGGGGTTGCGGCGCTCATCTCGCTTTATTGGCCGAGGGAGCCGGCGTACAGCTTCCGGGTCATGTGACCAGCAGGACTAAGCCGCTTCTGGCGAACCAGAGCAGCGCATGGAAACACCGTTTACCTTCCTGCCGGAGCGGTACCTATTTATCTACTTGCACTTTGATGTGCTTTCGAACTGCTAGGTGGGCAGGAGCATGGGACTCTCAAGAGTCTCCTCCGTAGCTTTGACTATACGGACCTTTGTTGGCAAGGTGGTGTCTCTGCTTTTAGCCGTAGTAACTCCCAAACCTCTCCGGTTTCAGATGGGCACCAACAAATGCGCCAGCCAGTCTGGGATGACCGCCTACGGAACCCGGAGACACCTCTACGACCCCAAAAACCAGATCCTACCTCCGATGGACCATTCGACCATCAGCCTCCAAATGGGAACAAACAAATGTGCTAGTCAGGTAAGGACAGTTGCCGCATAATTGTGCCAATTCCACGTCGGTAAGAACTCTGATCTTTGGAACTCCTTGCCAATTGATACCAGGTGAAACAAACTTAGTCCATGCTCAGGTGTTCTACATGTAAGGTAATGGTAAAGGGACCCCTGACCATTAGGTCCAGTCGTGGCCGACTCTGGGGTTGCGGCGCTCATCTCGCTTTACTGGCCGAGGGAGCCGGCGTACAGATTCCGGGTCATGTGGCCAGCAGGACTAAGCCGCTTCTGGCGAACCAGAGCAGCGCACGGAAATGCCGTTTACCTTCCCGCCGGAGGGGTACCTATTTATCTACTTGCACTTTGACGTGCTTTGGAACTGCAAGGTTGGCAGGAGCAGGGACCGAGCAACGGGAGCTCACCCCGTCATCACGGGGATTCAAACCGCCGACCTTCTGATCAGCAAGGCCTAGGCTCTGTGGTTTAACCCACAGCGCCACCTGCGTCTACATGTAAACATTAGTCCAAATTCACAAAAAAGAACTATAATCAATTTCAGTATTCAGACCTCCTCCTGATTCCGCTATCGCCCACCCTAACTCTTAACGGTGTTGTGCATACGAGCTCAAATTCTTCCTCCTCTCTTTTTTAATACTTCCCTCTCCGATCAGGTGGGGATGACCGCTCCGGGAACGAGGCGGCACATCTACGATTCGAAGCTGGGGACGGACAAATGCGACGACAGCTCCATGTCTCTGCAGATGGGCTACAACCAGGGGGCCAACCAAAGCGGGCAGGTTTTCGGCTTGGGGCGGCAAATCTACGACCCCAAATACTGCCCCCAGGGGAACGCCGGAGAGGCGGCCAACGCGGCGCATAACGACGGGAATTCGGCGGAATATTACTACTACCAGGAAGGGGAGGAGCAATGAGCCTGGGGAATTGGGGGGGTGGGTCCCCCTCCGATTTCCCCCTCCCCGGCAAATCACCATTGTACAGTTCCTGCCTCTTAATTGCCACAGATACTGCAATCTTTACATATTTGCGTCTTTAAAAAGAATGAGAGTCTTTTCTCTGCGTAGCAGAGATGAAAACAGGCTCCCTCAGTCTCGGCCCTCCAGGTCTTTTGGGACTACAACTCCCATCATCCTTAGCTAGCAGGACCAGTGGTGAGGGATGATGGGAGTTGTAGTCTCAAAACATCTGGAGGGCTGAGTTTGCAGAAGCCTGGAATAAAACAAAGGTCTTCCGTTCGTTCTTTTTTAAGAAAGTGAGTCTATGTGGGCCAGATCTAAGGCTTTGTTTACACCACCAACCCGCCCAATCTCTTGAAATCTCATCGAGATTTTGGATTTAATACGCCAGGGCGCAGAGATGTCCAAGTGGTTGGCCACGATCGACGGGCAGATCCCAGGGAGATCTGGGTCGATCGCGGGATCATGACCGATCGCGGTATGGGAAATGCTGTGGAATTAAGGTCTCCGTCCCCCAACCCCACCCCTCTCTGTCGCTACGGCGCGTCCTGCGGGCGGTCGTTTGGCGTCTGCTACTGACGACTGGCAATACAGTGGATGCTCGGGTTGCGAACGTGATCCGTGCAGGATGCACATTCGCAACCCGTAGCGTTCGCAACCCGCGGGTTGCTATTCTGCGCATGCGCAAAGCACAATTTTGTGCTTCTGCGCAACCGCCGAAACCCGGAAACAACCCGTTCCGGTACTTCCGGGTTTCGGCGGTCCGCAACCCAAAAAAGCACAACCTGAAGCGTCTGTAACCCAAGGTATGACTGTAGTTTCCTGTAGTTGCATAGCTGTCAACCGTCCCTTATTTGGCAGGAAACTCCCTTATCCCAGCGCCGTGTCCCGCTGTTGTCCCTTATTGATGATGTCCCTTAAATTTCCTGGGTTTCAAGCTCACCTGGCTCGGGAGGGAAGCAGCGGATCGGGGTCCTCCGCCGTGAGAGAGAGCGCACGCTGGCGCCGTTGTCCTGGAGTTCCATCGGCCCTTCCCCGCCCAAGAGACTCTCGCCCATGCCACCTGCGAGCTCGGAGGCGGCGGCTGAGGAGGCGGCCGGAGGGAGGGGGAGGGACGCAGAAGGGCGGCGCTTCAGCGGCCGCCGTGGCGCCGCAACCGCCTCATGCTGGATTGACAGCATCTGTCAATCCTACCAATGTATGTACCATATTTTTCGCTCTGTAAGACGCACCAGACCACAAGACGCACCTAGTTTTTGGAGAAGGAAAACAAGAAAAAAAATATTCTGAATCTCACAAGCCAGAACAGCAAGAGGGATCGCTGCACAGTGAAAGCAGCAATCCCTCTTGCTGTTCTGGCTTCTGGGATAGCTGCGCAGCCTGCATTCGCTCCGTAGGACGCACACACATTTCCCCTTACTTTTTAGGAGGGAAAAAGTCAGTCTTCTAGAGCAAAAAATACAGTAACTCTTTACAACGGCAAAATCCCTTATTTGGGCTGCTGATCCCTTATTTTCGAGGCTGCTGGTCCCTTATTTTCAAATCTGTAAGTTGACAGCTATGGATGGACGGTGGATGTACAGTGGTACCTCGGTTACATACGCTTCAGGTTACAGACTCCGCTAACCCAGAAATAGTGCTTCGGGTTAAGAAATTTGCTTCAGGATGAGAACAGAAATTGCACACCAGCGGTGTGGCGGCAGCAGGAGGCCCATTAGCTAAAGTGGTGCTTCGGGTTAAGAACAGTTTCAGGTTAAGAACAGACCTCCGGAACGAATTAAGTACTTAACCCAAGGTACCACTGTATATATAAAGGGACAAGCTTTTTTTATACTGGGAGTAGATCGCAGACTCATGAGAGTTAGACGTTCCTGCAATAGGGGTTGTTGTCATCCGACATTAGCCATTTGCTGAGTCGACCCGTTGAAACCCTGGCCGATTGATTTTCCAGTGGGTTTACTCGGAGCGAAATGCACTCCGATGGCATTAACAACAACAACAATAATTTATTATTTATACCCCGCCCATCTGGCTGGGCTTCCCCAGCCACTCTGGGCGGCTTCCAACAAAATATTAAAATGCAGTAATGCATCAAATGTTAAAAGCTTCCCTAAACAGGGCTGTCTTCAGATGTCTTCTAAAAGTCAGGTAGTTGTTTATCTCCTTGACATCTGACGGGAGGGCGCCACCACCGAGAAGGCCCTCTGCCTGGTTCCCTGTAACCTCGCTTCTCGCAGGGAGGGAACCGCCAGAAGGCCCTCGGGAGATGGACCCCGGTGTCCGGGCTGGACGATGGGGGTGGAGACGCTCCTTCAGGGATACTGGGCCGTTTAGGGCTTTCAAGGTCAGCACCGACACTTTGATTTGTGCTCGGAAACGTTCTGTTACAGATGCTTTAGCTGAGATTCCTTCATTTCAGAGGGTTGGACTAGATGAACGCTGGGGGTCCCTTTCCAACTTTATGATTCCACAAGGCTCTGGAGAGCCAGAGATAAATTGGGCTGGGCAGGCAAAATAAGCCTGATGTCATGCAATCGCTTTCCTGAACTGGCGAGGAATCCTGCGTTGTCCGGAGACAACCATATGGTCTAGAAAACTCTGCCAATCCTGGGTTGTTGTGTGTGTTTTTTGTAGCAACAAAACAGCCAAGTCTTCTGTGCTCCCATGGAATGGTGGTGTACACATATAGCCTTTTGAACTGCCCCACTTTAAAAAATAATCGTAATTATTCTGCAAGGTCAATTTTATTTTTCCTTCCTTGCTGGAACCTGAAATATGCAAAATTGACGACCCTTCGCACGCATTTTATTGGTGTCTTTTCAGAACGGGGGTCCTTTGTTTTATTTTTTTGTGCAAGGGATATTAACGTCGATTCAGGCATGCGTATAAGCGAGGGGCAAACCGGGAAAAGGAAGATTAACTGGAGGGAAGCGCCTAGAAACTCCACCGGCTTCAAGGACAATACCTGTTTTCTAAATACGTCCGTCACGAGGACCAGAAACTTAGATTATTATTTTTTTTAAATATGAAGCCTGTGGAATCTGCAGCAGATTTC